GAACAAATCTTAAATATGGCAGGGAATGTGTTTACTTTTTTAGTTTTGATTTTGAGCAGCAAATCTGGAGTTACATATGCTCACCAGGAATGCATAAGCAAAATTGCACAACTTTTCACTTGAAAGAATAGTGGCGATCTTGGGATTTTTTTCTGTTCAATTTTCAAATAGTGTGTAAATTCAATACACTTTATCTTCAGCATGTTTAGTGCCACTTTTATAAGTAACCACGCCCCCGGCCAGGCCACGCCCCTTCCGCTTTTTTTCATCACTCGCCATTGCCATCTATGGACATGGGTCAACTCACTACGCATGAGAAGAGTTGATTACATACGGCTTGGATGCATTGCTTTCGTGCTCTGTTGTACTTCCGTCATCTTTCCTTTTGTAGGGAAATAATGCATCAAAACAGAAAATCAAGCGAGGAAATAACAAAATAAATTCTGTATCCCCCCCTACAGAATTTATTTTGTGATTTCCTCTCTTGATTTTCTTTTTGGTGCAATATGTTTGCTTTTCTGAGTGTCATTGAAGTCATCGTTGATTTACGTTTTCGGCGGCGGTCATTGAACGCCTCTCGAGCAAAAGGCACGGAGACCGAGAAGGAGAAGGACGTGCCTGTAGTTGCTTGAGTTAAACAAATTAATAAAGTGTATGTTTTAAAAAGAGCCAACACGACAGCTCTTTGTTTTCTATCGTATTGCATGGCCGCAGAAACTGCCATGTGAACGCAAGTGGGGCTGCACCGGGGTAAACACGCTTCGCTTTAGTCAGCAGCTTTTTACGTGTGAACGCTCCACAAAATTTGCTCTGGCGTAAGATATATCGCAACAAAATACGTCTGTGCAGCACCGATGCAAATGTGTGCCGTGTGAACACCCCTTGAGACATAAGATCTAAACCAACAAACTGCTGAATCTGTAATACCAGTTCACGTTTCAAGGCAAGTCTTCAAGTTTACAAAGATTCATCACGTCATGAAATTTTAACTTATAACATTCATTCATTCATTCATTCATCTTCCGAACCGCTTGATCCTCACTAGGGTCGCGGGGGGTGCTGGAGCCTATCCCAGCTGTCTCCGGGCAGTAGGCGGGGGACACCCTGAATCGGTTGCCAGCCAATCACAGGGCACACAGAGACGAACAACCATCCACGCTCACATTCGCACCTAGGGACAACTTAGAGTGTTCAATCATCCTACCATGCATGTTTTTGGAATGTGGGAGGAAACCGGAGTACCCAGAGAAAACCCACGCAGGCCCGGGGAGAACATGCAAACTCCACACAGGGAGGCCGGAGCTGGAATTGAACCCAGTACCTCTGCACTGTGAAGTCGACGTGCTAACCACTGGACTACCGGGCCGCCCTAACTTATAACATCTAATTTGAATTGTTCATTTTCCAGGGTGGAATGCTTATTCAATGTACCTTTAAAGTATTTGATTTATGTATTTATTTATTAGTTTGTTTTTGTTTTTAACACGAACTGGGGGGAATTTGTTAGCGTTCACGTGCCAGAGACATGTTCACCGCTTGTTCCTACTGCATAACTGTCAAACTGTACTTCCACCTTCTTGTAACTAGCCTGATCTGCTGGACAGTTCTGCTTATTTGAACTGGGTGTAAATTTTGACACATTTAGAGAGTAAGATGTCTTTCAAACAGACTAAACTGCCGGACAAATGGGACGCTGAACCCACAGCACTTATGCTGATGCTAGGGGCCATATTAATTAAAAAAACAAAAAAAAAACCACGTAGACTGGTTGGTCAAATCCCCATGCACCATTTAGAATCCTTCCGAGGGTGTCCATCTGGATCATCGTTCCATGGCCAGGATGAAAACCACACTGCTCCTCCTGAAACTTAAGATTTTACCTTATGATCTGTCCCGAAACCTTCGTTCACAAGACACTGGTCTTGCAGTGATCTCAAGAGCCCAAAAGAAGCTTGCAGGTTCTAAGGCATTTTATATTCGGGCTCAAGTGCTCTGGAATGACTTAAAGTCTGGTGTGACGTACGGTCTGAACAATCCGTTTAATTCCTACCTTGAATAACAATCCTCACAGGCATTCTGTATATTCTTTATTCACTGCAAAAAATGGCTAGTTATATCAGCTTGCAGAGCTCTGTGTAGTTTTATGTAAGTTTCAGAATCATATAATGGAAATTACATTTTGGAATAAGGCTGTAACATGTCAGTGTGTTAAACTTGAAACTTTGTGAATAATTTAAGGTGCACCGGATGATGTTATTGTCAATGTCATGACCCTGCATCATCAAAATAACCAGACTGACCCCTGTGACAATGTTCATGGTGTGTTTTAGGTGTATGTATATCTCAGGTGTGCCCGGGACGGGGAAAACTGCAACGGTGCATGAGGTAATTCGCTGCCTGCGGAATGCAGCCAACATGAACGAGATCCCGTCATTCCACTTCATCGAGATCAACGGTATGAAGATGACGGACCCTCATCAGGCGTATGTTCAGATCCTTGAGGTGAATAAACTGTTTCGTATGTTTTGTCTTATAGCATACATTATTGAAATAGATTTATTGCCAGGAATGACTGCAAACACAAGTTGACTTGATATGACACATACAGTACTGAAAAATACAGAGAATACAATACATGAGCCTCCAATGGAGACCAAGACCTGCAGCAAATTGCAGAAATCGGTGACGAAAAAGAATCTCCCCGCCCACACAAACACACACACACACACACACACACACACACACACACACACACACACAAATATTTTTTTTCCTTTAATAGTTTAAACCAGGGTTAACCACCATTTAGTAAATGAATGCTATTTCTTGCTCACTGATTAACGCAAATTAAACGGTTCATTATTCAAGGTGGCGCCATAGCTGGCAGCCGTCTGTGAGAGCTCTTCAAGAGCTCTGCTTTTTTTGTTTTTTGTCTTTTTGTTTTGTCATATGGTGTTTGTTGTCCTTCGTGTGAACCCATTGCGGACTCTTTTGAGCATTTTTCCCATGACATTTGTCAAAGAAGAAGAATCTGTTCTTGATGGTTGCCCCTTCTCGGCAGCATGCATGTACCAGCACTGATTTTGATGGGGAGGAATTTCGGCGCTATTTGACTGTTGCCCCTTGACAGTACTGGGGAGCTTGCGTTTTTTGCGCCTGTAATGGGCAGCATTTTTCACAGCCCCGTTTTGTTCAGCGGAGATGTCGGCGCTGTTGGACAGTCCATTGGTGTGGCTGGATGGATGGCTGCTGGATCTGAGGATGAGGAGAGAGGAGTGTTGGCATGGAGTGCAGATGCGTATTTAGAGCTGAGACTCGGTGTTTAGAATTGAAGCAGATTCTCATTGGACAGAAGTGAAACAATCTCTTTTTTCATGAACGGACGCTACCGCTTCTTGTTTACTTTCAAACTTAGCTTGTAGCAGATGTGTTCACGTTTTGAGCATGGCGTTTCTGATCCACTAGATAAAGGACACTTTGGTTCTCTCCTCTTCAGAATCAGAATCATCTTTATTGGCCAAGTATGTCGAACACACAAGGAATTTGTCTCCAGTAGTACAAGCTACACTTGTATCATCAATAACAAGCAACTACGATAAAGAAGGATTTGACAAATAAGTATCGAAAGACTTTCCATAACATAAGGGTACCGCGAGATGCTTGTGGAGGCTCTCAGTCGTACAGGAAAGTTCCATCGTAGAAAGGGTTCTGTCAGTCGTCATCTGTACCTGTGGGTAAAAAACAAAAAAGGACGTTTCGCTTCTCTCACAGAAGCTTCGTCAGCGGTAGACAACTCTGAAGTCTC